ACGACAGACCCTGACCCTTGAAAAGGTGAAAATGCATATGTTAATCGGTTTTTATATGTGGATGTACTATTATGCAATCATGCCATAAAAGATGTTGGCATGCCATAGATTGGATCCGATGTTGGGATCTAAACTCATGACACGTATGTTCTAGACGCGTTAACTCATGTGTGTCTCGGGGTTACAGGCTGACCCTGACTGGCTGCAGATGTTGAATTTGCAGTCGAAGGAATAACGGTTGTCCCTTGATTCTTTGGAATGGCTTCAGTCGTACTGAAAATGATCGTGCCTTCCCCTTTCGAAGGGGGAACTTGTTCTGCATTGTTACTGGGTGGGTTAACCATTTCCCTATTGTACTTCCTTTTTGGTATAGATTCGTTAGTATTGGCTAATTTTCCACTCCTCAATCTCATACAACAATGTTAACAAACAAATTATCAAAATAAAAGATAAAATGAAAGAAATTCTAACAAGAAACTAGACACTGTTCCATTGGGCGTGCCAATTTGTTTACCGTGAAATTTGATAAACAACTGTTGGTCTTCAAAATCGAAGAAAAGATTAGTGACTTGGAGTATCGACCAAATTGATCCTAAGGACATGTGTTTAGTTCGATTTTGTTTCTTTCTGATTATCAATCTCTTCGATAGAGATTGTTACTTCAAAAGTAGTAATATAATACTTTAAAGAAAAGATTGGTATGTAAAAGACTTTTGAATTAAACTTAAAAGAAATGTATAAAACTTCGATTGAAAACGAATGACAATAAACATAAAATGGGTGCATCATACGTACATTCTCACAACTCGTTTCTCAAACACTGGTACTTTGAGTAATTTAGAGTAATTTGTACAAAGATGTGACTACACTAAAAACTAACGCTAAGATTGCTTTTTATACTAATTCGACCCTAACGGTCAACTACTGAAACAGTGCCACATTCGTTGTTGCATGTCCTTCAAATCTCTTCAGGCCTTCACGCGTCTCTTTGGATAAGACCAAACATTCAAATTTGAAAACTCTTTTTTCTTCAAAGCGCCAAACAGTATAGACGTGACGGTCGAAATGTCTATTTTAACAATACTTCAAATAAAATAAATTCCAACAGTTCACAAACGAACCCTTCGCCAACACTTTAGCAAAATGAAATTCCTATTAGCCTTCATTCATCGAAATCTTCATAAGATCTTTTTTATGCATCCTTTCGAACTACATTTCCTTCCAAGATGTATCATTTCAGCTTAACATTTTACATAGTTGAAATTCCCAGTTAACAGTAGAATGGTGGTTGAAAGTGAGTTGGGAGTGTACCTACAAGGTACTCTGATGCCAAAGTAAGAATAGAGACAATCAGAGCGCAAGTACACAAAATGAGAGTAAATGAATACCTGATCTTCTCGTGTGAGAGGATATTTATAGCCTCCAATGCAGGGCCAAGATCTACGTATTGGACCAGATAGTTTTCTCCAATAACGAAGACTTCCAGGATTACGTGAGTTGTGGAGTCCAACACGTGGCCTCCTCCCTGGTCAACTGCTCCGAGATAATAAGGAAGTTATGGATCCGTTATTCTCGGTAGACAGTATAGTGGTTACTTTGGATAACTATTGACCACGTCTCCTTGGTGGACACATGGGGAACTCTCCAACGGTTATTGACTTGGGTTGTATGTCATTGGGTCATAGCGAAGGCGCTGGATTAGGCCTGCTCAACGGTGGGCCCAGCCCAGAACAAAATGATACATGATGATCACTATGCAGTTGATTGCTTTTAATACAAGTCAATCATAAGACAACCCAAGTAGTGTTAATCAAAACTATTTCGAAATTTTTAACATATATGTCCTATCAATACACAATTTGATTCATGATACTTCAATAAGATTCATACACCATATATCTAAACTTATACATTAAAATATCTATAAGTTAAGTGGCACACAACCAATACAATAATATAATAACAAATTAATAATAAATACTAAAAAAAAAAAAAAGAGAGAGAAGAAGAAATAATACACATAGATATATAGTATAATCAATAGAATAATGCAATGACAAATTAATAATAAATACTAAAAAAAAAAAAAGAGAGAGAGAGAAGATGAAAAATCACACATGCACATATATAGTTTTAACACATGTTTGATTAAGCATTTCAAAATTATTTGAAAGACTACTTGGAACTTCCTCCCAATGAAAAATATTCTTTTTAAACCGGAGAACCTCAAGCCAAAAGCTCACGTACGAATCTTGAGGTGATTTTGAATTCAACCAATTATTTTAATACAAATTATTGCTATAACAATCTTTCTCTAGCTGTTACTTTGTTGTTGACACTTCACTTGATAAATTTAAAACTCAAACAAAATAAGAATAAGCATAAAATTACTATAATACATTTATCTATCATTGAACCATCCAATGAAAAAGAATATGTGTCAAGGATGAAATCGATGGTCAAAGTTATCTAAAATTACTATAATACGTTTAATTGGTGAATTTAATATTTAGAAATAACTATTCTTGAATCAATTGGCTCAATCGGTTGAACCATGAATTGGAGATGATTTTAGTTGGATTATTTTTTATATTTTATTTTTTAATTTAAGTATTCTTAATTATTTGAACTTTATTTTAATTGTTATGCTATGTTATTTTACTTTTTATTTTGAATTAGTTTAAGTTATTTTATTTTATTGTAATTTTTTAATTTATTTAAATTATTTTTAAATGAATGTTAAAATAATGTTATCGATAATGTTGTATTAAGTTGTAATTGATTTTTAAAATATTTTTTTATTAAATTGTGATTATATAATTATACGTGACTTATCTATTAAAAATTAATTTTATATTATTAATTTATTTAATAAACAGTTTAATCATAAATTTAATCGATCAAATCAATTAAATCTTAAATTAAAAGTTTTACTGATTCAATCTTCACTTTAATATACATGTACCAATATATAATATATTTATTTTAGGAATGAATGAATTTAATTCTAATAATATCTTTTTGAGAAACGTTCAAATTGGATTTAATTCTAATATAACTAATGAATGTTTTATGCTAACCAGTGGGCACTGGTTAAAAGTCTTTAATTACAACATAAATCTATTCAAAAAGAGTGATTATTAAAAGATTTAAATTTTCTAAATTATAATAAATAAATATTAAACCTTTAGACATTATTAGTTTTCATTTTCATTTAATGCTGATAATGCATACACGATTGTTGCCCATTTATATTTCATTTCCAATGCCTGCAACTTTTTAAATTATAAAACCACTATTTTTTCTTTCCATAGCTAATTTAAAGATTGGTATAAGTGGATAAAGTGTAGAGGTGAATTAAATTAATTATGAATTTTTTTAATTATTATGTTATCTTTTATTTTTATACTATATTTTATTGTTAATTTATTTTTCAGTGTTTTTATTTTATACTCCCTCCAGTCTTATATGTAAGCAATAAAAAAAAATTTTACTAGTCTCAATTATAAGCAAAAATTAATTACCATTGATATAATTAAATTCTTCATTCCAATTTTATCCTCATATTGTAGTTTTCCAAAAACAAAAATATTCCTCTAATAACTTCATTTTTTATAGTTTCCAAATGAGCATTTATTTTTACTTTTACGTTGCATTTGTTACCATTGCCTTTTGAAATGCCATATCCTATTATAAATGTTTCATATCCAGTATTTTGTCTACCATGAGTTTTGTTCTTCTATTTTTTTTATACTCTAAACATGGCAAATCCACATCAAATAGCTAATGAATTTCCATCTTTTGATTTAGGCATTGAAGACTCTGAGAATCTATCAAATCTCATTGTTGAAGACTCTCTGGATTTGAACAAAGTTCCTGAAGTAGTTCTAACTCCAACAAATGAAAGTGCAGAAAATCTCACTCCAAAGAATGAAAGTGAAGATGCTCTAACTCCAACAAATGAAAGCACCATTGTTGAATTACTAGATATGAGTGATTTTGATCTAACTCCAACAATGGTGCTTTCATTTGTTGGAGTTAGAGCCTCTTCACTTTCATTCTTTGGAGTGAGATTTTCTGCACTTTCATTTGTTGGAGTTAGAGCATCTTCACTTTCATTCTTTGGAGTGAGATTTTCTGCACTTTCATTTGTTGGAGTTAGAACTACTTCAGGAACTTTGTTCAAATCCTGTTCAAATCCAGAGAGTCTTCAACAATGAGATTTGATAAATTCTCAGAGTCTTCAATGCCTAAATCAAAAGATGGAAATCCATTAGCTATTTGATGTGGGTTTGCCATGTTTAGAGTATAAAAAAAATAGAAGAACAAAACTCATGGTAGACAAAATACTGGATATGAAACATTTATAATAGGATATGGCATTTCAAAAGGCAATGGTAACAAATGCAACGTAAAATTAAAAATAAATGCTCATTTGGAAACTATAAAAAGTGAAGTTATTAGAGGAATATTTTTGTTTTTGGAAAACTACAATATGAGGGTAAAATTGGAATGAAGAATTTAATTATATCAATGGTAATTAATTTTTGCTTATAATTGAGACTAGTAAATTTTTTTTTTGTTGCTTACATATAAGACCGGAGGGAGTATGTTATATAAAAATTATCATTCTTGCGAGTTCTGTATCTTCAATTTATTGAGAACAATTTGTTAAATCTTGGATGATTAGCGTTTTACGCTGAAAATCCTTGAGGACGTGCAGTCAGTACGTCTCAGACTATTTCATGAGTTTTTATTTTGCAAGTCTTCGTAAGAACATTAACAAATATCTCAAGAATTTTATGGCTATCGAAGACAAATTCAATGATAAATCCAATTGTCAGACTCAAATCAATGATGATGAGACCATTTAAAAACAACCCACTCTTGTTATACCGGCGATTAATTACACAAAGCCATTCGTCGATGTCTCAAAAATTAAAGTTTTCGACGGTCAGAATTTCCGTAGATGGTATGAGCGTATTCACTCAATCCTTGACATGCACGGTGTTGCCTTGGTTATCTCAAAACAAAAATCAGCACCGTCTGCAACTCAAAAAATTATCGATCAATGGACACATGTAAACAAGGTATGCCGACACACAATATTAAGTACTCTATCTAACGATTTGTTCGATGTCTATTGCTCTTACAAGGAAGCAAAAGAGATATGGAATTCGATGAATCTAAAGTATACCGCTGAAGATGGTGGAAAACATATATTCGTCATTGGGAATTACTACTATTGAAAATGTCTCAAAGATAAAGATATCAAGATGCAGACCAACGAGTATCATAAGTTGCTGGAAGAACTGAAAGTTGAAAACATTACTCTGCCCGACCAATTTGTTCCTGGATTTCTCATTGAGAAGTTGCCGAAATCATGGAAGGATTACAATAATCAACTCAAACATAAACAAAATCAATTACCTTTGACATATTTGATCACACACATCATTATCGAGGATACAAACAAAAAGGAGAGCAAGGCTACAAAGGCAAAAAGTTTTGTTTCCTGAGCAAATCTTGTTCAGAATAATACTCATAATAAGTTTCACAAAAAGAGGTACAATCACAAACCCGATCATAAACCTGGTCATAATAATCATAATAATTTTATCCCACGTGTTACTAATCCCACATTTAAAAAAGAGAGGAGAATTTTATGTTTGTGGTAAGCCATGTCATCATGCACCTCAATGCAAACATTGCAAAAGGAATGAGAATCCTCCTAAAGCTAACTTGGCTGAAGGAGATGATATTATTATTGTTGTCATTGCTCAAGAAAATATTGTGAGTGATGTGAATAAATGGATAGTAGACTCTGAGGCTAATAGGAACATATGTGTTAATAAAGATGTCTTTACCTCCTACACTATTGTGGGGAATGGAGAAGAACAAGTTTATCTTGGTGATTTTCGGACTGCTGGAGTTTCAGAAAAAGGCAAAATTATGTTAAAATTCACATCAGCATCAGAAAAGACCTTAACTTTAAGTGAAGTATTGCATGTTCCTAATATTAGGAATAATTTAATTTTTGTGGCTCTTTTGAGCAAGGGTGGGGTTAAAGTGTCATTTGAATCTGACAAGATTGTAATGACAAAGAATAATGTATTTGTGGGAAAAGATTATTGTGACAAGGGATTCTTTGTGCTGAACATTTATAAAGTTATGAATAATAAAGTTTCTTCTTCTCCTTACTTGATTGATTCTTATGATATATGGCATGCTAGATTAGGACATGTTAATTCTTCTTATATTAATAGAATGAAAAGTCTTGATATGATTACGTTAAATAATAAGAAATCTGATAAATGTGATATATATTTAGAATCAAAATTAACAAAGAAAACATGTATGTTTGTGCGTGAATCTGATCTTCTTAGTCTAATTCATACCAATTTAGAATATTTAAAGCAAAATACATCTAAAGGAGGAAATAAATATTATATAACTTTTATAGATGATTTTTCGAGATTCACTAAAATTTATTTGTTAAAACATAAAGATGAAGCGTTTGATAAATTTATCCTATACAAAGTCGAGGTAGAAAATCTGTTAAATAGAAAAATAAAAAGAGTTAGATCCGATAGAGGAGGAGAGTATATTTCTTTTAATGATTTTTGTGAAAAAGAAGGAAATGAAAAATAGGACTTTAAAAGAAATGATGAATGCTATGCTTGTTAGTTCTCATGCACCGAAGCTTTGTTAAGTATTATCATTCTAGAACTGGTTCATATAACTTGCTACACCACTTTGATGCATCCTTCTATCATGATAATCCAAGAAACAATAATATTTTTTAAAAAAATTATTTTTTATATATGTGGGGGATTGTTGTCATTATTAGCTATTTAAAAAATAATTTTCACTATTTAAAAATATTTTTAATAAAGAATTTAAATTTTATTTAACTCTCATTTACTAATAAATATAAAAATGTTTAAAATTAATAATTTGATTCTATTTTTTTTTTGAATACGTCAACTTTGATTATAATAAAACACAAATACAAGGTGATCACAAACTGATCAAACTCATATGATCAAGAGAGAACAAATGTTAAACTATTACATCATAAGAGGAACAATATATTTTTTGGGAATACTACTATACCAACCCCTAAAGATGATGTTATCCATAATGTGTCTTAAAGCTAGCAAGTAATCAACTTTCTCCCCAAAGCAAACTTTATTCCGATATAACCAAATTCCATAAATTGTCTCCGTTATAGAAAGCTTAAACAAAGTACTCCTCCAACCTTTACCTTTACATTTCTCAATAATCCATGGCAATTCCTCATTCCAATTCTTCGGGGTATGATTAACATTAACCCAATTAAGCACATCAATCCAAAATTGTCGCAACCCAGAACACTCAAACAAAATATAATTGATATCTTCAATACTAGAGCAAAAGCAGCATTTCGAATCTGTAATAAAACCAAATCTAACAAGCCTCTCCTTTGTAGCTAACTTGTGATGACATGCCAACCATAATGTGATAACAGCCCTAGGCCTGGCAGGGTTTTTACAGATAAGAGACTTCCAACTGACTACCGGCTCATTACTTCTCATCTGGGAATACACAGATTTCATAGAGAATTTACCAGTACATAACATGGCCTCCCAAAGTGACTGAATACCTTGAATATAATCTCTTGTCCCCATAACCCGTTTCATTATCCAAGTGCCACTCTCTTTGATCTTACAATCTATGATATCATCATTCTTCATATAATAGAAGTGTATCCACCTAACCCACAAATTATCTTTTTTAGCACAGAGATTCCACAGTAATTTAAGCAAAGCTACCTCATTCCAGATAAATAAGTCAATTAAACCACGACCACCATTCTTCTTGGGCCTACAGACTTGTTTCCAGGCTATAAGACTCTTCCTACTCATCCTATCTGTCCCAGCCCAGAAGAATGATCTGCAGATAGTATTGATCTTTTGCAACACCACTTTAGGCATAGCGAAACAGGTGAACCAAAAGTTATTCATAGCAAAAATAACAGATTTAAGGAGTTGAAGTCTACCAGCTGCACTTAATAATTGGGAAGACCAATGCCTAATCCTACTGACAATCTTATCAATAAGGGGCAGGTAATATTTTGCAGCCAACTTCTTAGAAGAGAGAGGCACCCCCAAATATCTGACTGGGAGGCTCCCTTCAAGGAATTTAGTCAAATGAAGCACTTGTTGTTTAGTATCCAAATCCACAACACCAAAGTATATTTTGCTTTTAAGAGAATTAACTTTCATACCTGTAGAACTAGAGAACCTGTTGAAAGCTTGCATCATCAAGGATAAGGATCCAATATCACCTCTAAAAAAAGAAGCAAATCATCAGCAAAGGCAAGATTTGTAATCTAGAGTTTTTCACACTTAGGGTGATGATTAAAATTGGGGTTCAGCTGCATCTGGTGGAGGCATCTATGCATGTATTCCATGGTGATGACAAAGAGGTAAGGGGAAATGGGATCCCCTTGCCTTATGCCCCTTTGAGCCTGTAACAAAGTAGACATAGATCCATTGATACTGAAACGATATGATACAGTGGTAACAGTAAGCATGATCCATTTTTTGAACTTATTGGGAATGCAAATCTCCTGAAGAATACAATCCAAGGCCCTCCAGTCAACCATATCGTATTCCTTTTGCATATCAATCTGAATCATACATCGTGGAGTAGTATATTTTCTCGAATAGCCTTTAATGAGTTCATACGCAAGGAGAATTTGATTATGAATTTGCTGCCCAGGAATGAATGTTGCTTGATTAGGACTGATGATACTTTCAATAACTCTCCCCAATCTGTTTGTCAAAATTTTAGAGATGATTTTATAGATAGTAGTGCAAACAGATATAGGCCGAAATTCAGAAATTCTCCTAGCAGTTTTTGTCTTAGGCAGCAGAGTAATGTTGGAACAGTTGAATGCTTTGTATAGGTAATTCCTGTTAAAGAATTCATGAACAGCAGCAAGAAGATCAACCTTGATAATGTCCCAAGTAGCTTTGAAGAAAACAAAATTATAACCATTTAAACCAGGGGCAGACATATCACTAATATCTTTGAGGGCTTCATAGATTTCTATATCACTAACGACAGATTCAAGGAATTCTCTTTGGGAATTATTAAGCTGTGCACCCCTTCTCATTGCAACCAAATCAATCCCACTAATATCTTCCTCCTTGCTACCCATCAGTTTCCCATAAAAAGACAAGATTTCTTGTTCAATCTCTGCATGGGATGATAAGACAGAGCCATTGTTGGCTGAAGATTTTGATGATATTATTAGAAGCAAAGTAAATTGGACATTTCGATTGAAATAAAGCAAAATGTCATGTTTCGAAATGGTAGAAGCAGTGTTTCGAATAGGCATATCAAAGTTTGGGGTTTCGAGTGACAGTTATGAGAATATATTCAAAGAAGCCTCGAAATGATAACAAGGCTGTGTCTAAAAAATGCGTTCGAAGCGAAGAAGTGCCAAAACATTTGAAATTCAAATGCAAGCGGGATGTTCGAAATTTGAAATATATGCGCTGGAGCATTCGAAGACGCGTGGAAGTAGGAGAGAGGCATTGCTCTGCATGTTCTGAACGTGGCAGAATCTTATAGCAAGACCGTTATGGTCGAAGTAGTATAAATAGAAGTCTTAGCATTAGGATTTCGTGTGTCATATCTATTGTACAAAAAACTCAGTAAACATTCAAATTACCACATTGTTGTACCCCAAATTTTGACCTAAGATACCATCTCCCATCTGCATCATTACATTGCAAGTGTTTTGACCTATTTTTATCAATTTTCAAAGCAGATTTAAAATTCATAACTTTTTCAAGTCAAGAGCTATTTATTTTTTGAACGCTAAATTTATTAATTGATCAATGCTAAAACAATGTTTATTAATTATTTATTATCTTAAATTTAAATAATTGGAATTTATTTTCAGTTATTATATAATTTAAAGATTTATAAATAATAAAGTAAATATTTGAAAAGAAGTTTATTAATTGATCAGACGATGTTTATTAATTATTTATTATCTTAAATTTAAATAATTGGAATTTATTTTCAGTTATTATATAATTTAAAGATTTATAAATAATAAAATAAATATTTGAAAAGAGTTTATTAATTGATCAACAATGTTTATCTAATTATTTATTATTCTAAGTTTAAATAGTTGAAATTTTATTTTCAGTTATTATAATTTAGAAGAATTATAAATAATGAAGTAAATGATTGAAGAGAAGTTAACTGATCAATAATGTTTATTTAATTATTTATCATTCTAAATTTAAATAATTGGAATTGATTTTCAGTTATTATATAATTTAAAGAATTATAAATGATAAAATAAATAATTGGAAAGAAGAAAAGAATTAACTGAAATAATAGAATTTTATTCATCTTTATTCTAATTATTACAATTGTTGTTTAAATACTGTATTATGTACAAAGTATTTACAATGACAATTACATAAAATGTTTAAAGTAAAATAAAAACTAT